ACTCCGATGCTACATACAAAAGGACTCCGACAGACATGGCAACGCCAAAATCATAAGTTGTTTCAACTTTCAACCATTTTCTAATCACCCATTTTTATATAATGAATGGAACTGGCGATGACAAATGTGTATACCGGTCTAAGTGATGGTGGATGTGTGGGAGTTTTGTACGACAGTAACGTGTGGATTGTACGGCCGTTTCTACCACGTTGATTAACTACGATATCGTCTTGACGGTTGACTTGGGCCTTAATTCCAGATCAGTTTAAACACTTCGTTTTACCCCCTTAAACGACCGCCTCCGTTGTGTAGTGGTATGTCATGTCATCTTCCCCTCAATCCCCATGTCATCTTCCCCTCCCTCCCCATGTTAAATCCCCCTCCCTCCCCATGTCACATCCCCCTCCCTCCCCATGTCACATCCCCCTCCCTCCCCATGTCATATTCCCCTCAATCCCCATGTCATATTCCCCTTCCTCCCCATGTCATCTTCCCCTCCCTCCCCATGTCATCTTCCCCTCCCTCCCCATGTCACATCCCCCTCCCTCCCCATGTCATATTCCCCTCCCTCCCCATGTCATCTTCCCCTCCCTCCCCATGTCATCTTCCCCTCCCTCCCCATGTCACATCCCCCTCCCTCCCCATGTCATATCCCCCTCCCTCCCCATGTCATCTTCCCCTCCCTCCCCATGTCATCTTCCCCTCCCTCCCCATGTCACATCCCCCTCCCTCCCCATGTCATATTCCCCTCCCTCCCCATGTCATATACCCCTACCTCCCCATGTCATATTCCACTCCCTCCCCATGTCATACCCCCCTCCCTCCCCATGTCACATCCCCCTCCCTCCCAATGTCATCTTCCCCTCCCTCCCCATGTCATATCCCCCTCCCTCCCCATGTCACATCCCCCTCCCTCCCGATGTCATCTTCCCCTCCCTCCCCATGTCATATACCCCTACCTCCCCATGTCATATACCCCTCCCTCCCCATGTCACATCCCCCTCCCTCCCCATGTCATATACCCCTACCTCCCATGTCACATCCCCCTCCCTCCCCATGTCATATACCCCTACCTCCCCATGTCATATACCCCTCCCTCCCCATGTCACATCCCCCTACCTCCCCATGTCATATTCCCCTACCTCCCCATGTCATACCCCCCTCCCTCCCCATGTCATATTCCCCTCCCTCCCGATGTCACATCCCCCTCCCTCCCCATGTCATACCCCCCTCCCTCCCCATGTCATATCCCCCTCCCTCCCCATGTCACATCCCCCTCCCTCCCCATGTCACATCACCCTCCCTCCCCATGTCATATTCCCCTACCTCCCCATGTCATACCCCCCTCCCTCCCCATGTCACATCCCCCTCCCTCCCCATGTCATCTTCCCCTCCCTCCCCATGTCATCTTCCCCTCCCTCCCCATGTTAAATCCCCCTCCCTCCCCATGTCACATCCCCCTCCCTACCCATGTCACATCCCCCTCCCTCCCGATGTCATATTCCCCTCAATCCCCATGTCATATTCCCCTTCCTCCCCATGTCATCTTCCCCTCCCTCCCCTTGTCATCTTCCCCTCCCTCCCCATGTCACATCCCCCTCCCTCCCCATGTCATATTCCCCTCCCTCCCCATGTCATCTTCCCCTCCCTCCCCATGTCATCTTCCCCTCCCTCCCCATGTCACATCCCCTTCCCTCCCCATGTCATATCCCCCTCCCTCCCCATGTCATCTTCCCCTCCCTCCCCATGTCATCTTCCCCTCCCTCCCCATGTCACATCCCCCTCCCTCCCCATGTCATATTCCCCTCCCTCCCCATGTCATATACCCCTACCTCCCCATGTCATATTCCACTCCCTCCCCATGTCATACCCCCCTCCCTCCCCATGTCACATCCCCCTCCCTCCCAATGTCATCTTCCCCTCCCTCCCCATGTCATATCCCCCTCCCTCCCCATGTCACATCCCCCTCCCTCCCGATGTCATCTTCCCCTCCCTCCCCATGTCATATACCCCTACCTCCCCATGTCATATACCCCTCCCTCCCCATGTCACATCCCCCTCCCTCCCCATGTCATATACCCCTACCTCCCATGTCACATCCCCCTCCCTCCCCATGTCATATACCCCTACCTCCCCATGTCATATACCCCTCCCTCCCCATGTCACATCCCCCTACCTCCCCATGTCATATTCCCCTACCTCCCCATGTCATACCCCCCTCCCTCCCCATGTCATATTCCCCTCCCTCCCGATGTCACATCCCCCTCCCTCCCCATGTCATACCCCCCTCCCTCCCCATGTCATATCCCCCTCCCTCCCCATGTCACATCCCCCTCCCTCCCCATGTCACATCCCCCTACCTCCCCATGTCATATTCCCCTACCTCCCCATGTCATACCCCCCTCCCTCCCCATGTCACATCCCCCTCCCTCCCCATGTCATCTTCCCCTCCCTCCCCATGTCATCTTCCCCTCCCTCCCCATGTCATACCCCCTCCCTCCCCATGTCACATCCCCCTCCCTCCCCATGTCATCTTCCCCTCCCTCCCCATGTCACATTCCCCTCCCTCCCCATGTCACATCCCCCTCCCTACCCATGTCACACCCCCCTCCCTCCCCGTGTCATATACCCCTCCCTCCCGATGTCATATACCCCTCCCTCCCCATGTCATATACCCCTCCCTCCCTATGTCACATCCCCCTCCCTCCCCATGTCATATACCCCTCCCTCCCCATGTCATATACCCCTCCCTCCCCATGTCACATCCCCCTCCCTCCCGATGTCATATACCCCTACCTCCCCATGTCATATACCCCTCCCTCCCCATGTCACATCCCCCTCCCTCCCGATGTCATATACCCCTACCTCCCCATGTCATATACCCCTCCTTCCCCATGTCACATCTCCCTCCCTCCCCATGTCATATACCCCTCCCTCCCCATGTCATATACCCCTCCTTCTCCATGTCACATCCCCCTCCCTCCCCATGTCATATACCCCTCCCTCCCCATGTCATATACCCCTCCCTCCCCATGTCATATACCCCTCCTTCCCCATGTCACATCCCCCTCCCTCCCCATGTTACATCCCCCTCCCTCCCCATGTCATATACCCCTCCTTCCCCATGTCACATCCCCCTCCCTCCCCATGTCATATACCCCTCCCTCCCCATGTCACATCCCCCTCTCTCCCCATGTCATATACCCCTCCCTCCCCATGTCACATCCCCCTCCCTCCCGATGTTACATCCCCCTCCCTCCCCATGTCATATACCCCTCCCTCCCCATGTCACATCCCCCTCCCTCCCCATGTCATATACCCCTCCCTCCCCATGTCATATACCCCTCCCTCCCCATGTCACATCCCCCTCCCTCCCGATGTCATATACCCCTCCCTCCCCATGTCACATCCCCCTCCCTCCCCATGTCACATCCCCCTCCCTCCCCATGTCATCTTCCCCTCCCTCCCCATGTCATATACCCCTCCCTCCCCATGTCACATCCCCCTCCCTCCCCATGTCATATCCCCCTCCCTTCCCATGCCATATTCCCCTCCCTTCCCATGTCATATTCCCCATGACATTTTTGGGTGACCCACCCCTGATTCTCTCCCCCACCTCCCTTTTTAAATGGCAGGTCCCTTAGCAGATCTAATATGTACGTGACAGCCGGGTCATTTAGCAAATATTTGAATCAGCTCATGGAAATAGCCTGGAATTACTCTGCTGTATCTGAGTCATTGCTTCATGCGAGTCATGACATGGGTGTCCCCACATACAACTGTGATAGACTTACATACTTCATACTTCATAGCGAATATTGCGTGCTATGCTGTGTTTTTGTAAGGAGTTACATTTTCTTGTGAATCCAAGCAATTCTAAAAAGAATTGTTACTAGTGTACCCCTTCCATGTATTGCTCAAGCTGTTTCACCACCAGATTGTGCCATCAAAACCAAATGAAAATGTGCTTTCAACTACTTACGTAAACCACAGGACCATATAACTAATAATAATAACAAAGAAATCGTCTGAGAGGTGTTTTTTTGTTATTATTCTTAGTTACATGGCCCTGTGCATAAACACAACATCGCACGTAATCTCTGCTATGAAGAGTTGCGGTCATATAATGCTTGACAGATTGAAACATGAACCGTTTTGTCCGTGGAGGTTGAAATAGTAACTATATGTAAACATAACAAACCTGATAACGCTCTCTTGTTGACCCAGTTTATAATTTCTTTTTCTGCCGTCAAACTCAAATTTCCCTCTGACGCCATTCCGGTTTGAGAAAGAAGCGACCACAGCCAGCGATTGACGCGATTGCAAGCGGCTGAAAGTTAGCATTGACGCTTTGCAACGCACCCTTGTATCTACTTCACGTGAAACGTGACTAATAAAGTCATATGACGTCATTCCTTTATCAATTGGCACCAATGACGTCATATTGCAAGGGGCATAAGCCATGGTGTGTTTATTGTTGAAAAAGAATTCTCGGTAAATATGAATAATATGATTTAATGAATGAAATAATTCAGATACTTGTGATATTTTTATTGTTTTACCTCTGACACTACTAAGTAAATACTTTTCATGATGAAAAAGTACAAGAAAAATAAGTTTATTTTCGTGTGAACTTGCCCTTTAAACCCCATTTCACCTCACCTTCACCTTGAGTCTATTCTGCCCAGCAGTTCCCCCATGAGGTAAAGCTGAGGAATACCTATGTCCATATATGTGTAATGCGTAATAATAGTATTTCATAGTATAATATAATAAATTAAAGATAATTACATTATTGCAAGTCCGATCAGCTACAATTTTCACAATAAATGAAAAACAGTTGGGTCAATGAACGTTATATTTTCAACGCAGGCGATCGCGATGGGTGTAGTTGTCAGCGTGATTTATCAGCCATGTTGCCGGAAATAAAAACCGATAAACTGAAGTTTGATCAGCCCGTTACGTGAAACCACAATATAGCATGTTTCCGGCCCCAGAAACGCAGCGCCGACACTCAGCCTGATAAAGAACATTTGGCCATGCACACGACAGCCCAGCAGCGAAAAGCGACTTTCCACCAGGGTAAGTGTATCTCATGTATATATATATATATATGGAGGCGGCCCATCCCATTGTGTGTGGTCATGTCCAACCAGGGTACAAGGAGAGCAGGGGAGAATGTATACAATGAACAACATTAGCCTGTAAACTGTTGTTATGATAGTTTTAAGCTATTTATTTCAAGGTCATGTTTCAGCTTCCTGGTTAAATCGCTTGATGTATTCATTTATTTGGGATTCGAAATATGTCGGGTTTCAGTGACATGTTGTGGATATTCTTATCCCGTTTAATGAGATTCGAATGTCTGTAAAACAGGGAATATCAAGGTGTTATAATATGTGTAACCTGCGACTGTAGAAAGTCAAGCTCTCTCGACCTTCTCTTCATAATTGCTTATTTCACACAAGAGATTTTTCCCCTTCTCAGACTTCACCCCTGTTTGTCTCACAAGTCAGACTTCACCCCTGCTTATCTCACAAGTCAGACTTCACCCCTGCTTATCTCACAAGTCAGACTTCACCCCTGCTTATCTCACAACTCAAAATTCACCCTTCTTATCTCACAACGCAAACTTCACACTGCTTATCTCACAAGTCGTACTTCACCCCTGCTTATCTCACAACTCAAACTTCACCCCTGCTTATCTCACAAGTCAGACTTCACCCCTGCTTATCTCACAACTCAAACTTCATCCCCTGCTTATCTCACAAGTCCCATTTCACCCCTGCTTATCTCACAAGTCCCATTTCACCCCTGCTTATCTCACAAGTCACACTTCACCCCTGCTTATCTCACAACTCAAACTTCATCCCCTGCTTATCTCACAAGCCAGACTTCACCCCTGCTTATCTCACAAGTCAGACTTCACCCCTTCTTATCTCACAACTCAAACTTCATCCCCTGCTTATCTCACAAGTCAGAATTCACCCCTGCTTCTCTCACAAATCAGACTTCACCCCTGCTTATCTCACAAGTCAGACTTCACCCCTGCTTATCTCACAACTCAAACTTCATCCCCTGCTTATCTCACAACTCAAACTTCATCCCCTGCTTATCTCACAAGTCAGAATTCACCCCTGCTTCTCTCACAAATCAGACTTCACCCCTGCTTATCTCACAAGTCAGACTTCACCCCTGCTTATCTCACAACTCAAACTTCATCCCCTGCTTATCTCACAAGTCCCATTTCACCCCTGCTTATCTCACAAGTCCCATTTCACCCCTGCTTATCTCACAAGTCCCATTTCACCCCTGCTTATCTCACAAGTCACACTTCACCCCTGCTTATCTCACAACTCAAACTTCATCCCCTGCTTATCTCACAAGCCAGACTTCACCCCTGCTTATCTCACAAGTCAGACTTCACCCCTTCTTATCTCACAACTCAAACTTCATCCCCTGCTTATCTCACAAGTCAGAATTCACCCCTGCTTCTCTCACAAATCAGACTTCACCCCTGCTTATCTCACAAGTCAGACTTCACCCCTGCTTATCTCACAACTCAAACTTCATCCCCTGCTTATCTCACAAGTCCCATTTCACCCCTGCTTATCTCACAAGTCCCATTTCACCCCTGCTTATCTCACAAGTCAGACTTCACCCCTGCTTATCTCACAACTCAAACTTCATCCCCTGCTTATCTCACAAGTCAGAATTCACCCCTGCTTCTCTCACAAGTCACACTTCACCCTTGTTTATCTCACAAGTCAGACTTCACCCCTGCTTATCTCACAAGTCAGACTTCACCCCTGCTTATCTCACAAGTCAGACTTCACCCTTGTTTATCTCACAAGTCAGACTTCACCCCTGCTTATCTCTCCAGTCAGACTTCACCCCTGCTTATCTCACAAGTCAGACTTCACCCCTTCTTATCTCACAAGTCCCATTTCACCCCTGCTTATCTCACTACTCAAACTTCACCTCTGCTTATCTCACACGTCACACTTCACCCCCTTGCTTATCTCTCCAGTCAGACTTCACCCCTGCTTATCTCTCCAGTCAGACTTCACCCCTGCTTCTCTCACAAGTCACACTTCACCCCTGCTTATCTCACAAGTCAGACTTTACCCCTGCTTATCTCACAAGTCAGACTTCACCCCTGCTTATCTCACAACTCAAACTTCATCCCCTGCTTATCTCACAACTCAAACTTCATCCCCTGCTTATCTCACAAGTCAGAATTCACCCCTGCTTCTCTCACAAATCAGACTTCACCCCTGCTTATCTCACAAGTCAGACTTCACCCCTGCTTATCTCACAACTCAAACTTCATCCCCTGCTTATCTCACAAGTCCCATTTCACCCCTGCTTATCTCACAAGTCCCATTTCACCCCTGCTTATCTCACAAGTCCCATTTCACCCCTGCTTATCTCACAAGTCACACTTCACCCCTGCTTATCTCACAACTCAAACTTCATCCCCTGCTTATCTCACAAGCCAGACTTCACCCCTGCTTATCTCACAAGTCAGACTTCACCCCTTCTTATCTCACAACTCAAACTTCATCCCCTGCTTATCTCACAAGTCAGAATTCACCCCTGCTTCTCTCACAAATCAGACTTCACCCCTGCTTATCTCACAAGTCAGACTTCACCCCTGCTTATCTCACAACTCAAACTTCATCCCCTGCTTATCTCACAAGTCCCATTTCACCCCTGCTTATCTCACAAGTCCCATTTCACCCCTGCTTATCTCACAAGTCAGACTTCACCCCTGCTTATCTCACAACTCAAACTTCATCCCCTGCTTATCTCACAAGTCAGAATTCACCCCTGCTTCTCTCACAAGTCACACTTCACCCTTGTTTATCTCACAAGTCAGACTTCACCCCTGCTTATCTCACAAGTCAGACTTCACCCCTGCTTATCTCACAAGTCAGACTTCACCCTTGTTTATCTCACAAGTCAGACTTCACCCCTGCTTATCTCTCCAGTCAGACTTCACCCCTGCTTATCTCACAAGTCAGACTTCACCCCTTCTTATCTCACAAGTCCCATTTCACCCCTGCTTATCTCACTACTCAAACTTCACCTCTGCTTATCTCACACGTCACACTTCACCCCCTTGCTTATCTCTCCAGTCAGACTTCACCCCTGCTTATCTCTCCAGTCAGACTTCACCCCTGCTTCTCTCACAAGTCACACTTCACCCCTGCTTATCTCACAAGTCAGACTTTACCCCTGCTTATCTCATAAGTCACACGTCACCCTTGCTTATCTCACAAATCAGACTTTACCCTTGCTTATCTCACAACTCAAACTTCACCCCTGCTTATCTCACAACTCAAACCTCACCCCAACCCCCCAACCCCTGCTTATCTCACAAGTCAAACCTCACCCCAGCTTATCTTACAACTCGAACTTCAGCCCTGCTCAACTTACTCCTGCAACTTCACACCTGCATATTTCATTGCCTATCTTACTCTCTCGAACCCTCCAAATGAAACAGTTCACATTAATCAGGCATTCAAAGTCTGTCACGTTAATACTGTAGTGTCACGTGCTGACCCCAGTCTCTTCACACTGCGATATGATCCATGTTACACGTCTGAGTAAAGTCAGCATACGATTAGTCACTCACAGAAACTAGGAGAACATTGTTTGTGACGGAAGTTCACGACGTTTATCCTGTTTGATGCTAAAAATACATCAAAGTCAAACAGTCTCATGTTGATGTCGTTTCTCGTCTCGCAGTCATCGCGGGAGTGTCGGAAGCCAGGTATGTTAGTTCGGTACAGATGTAGGGTGCTTCGTATTTATTTCTTATATTTCTGCACTTTTATGTGAAGCTAATTGTTTTCCACGACTTAAGAAAATAGCACAGTGTTAGTGCTCTGGTCTGAGGTGCACTGTTGCAGATACAGGTCCTTATCACAGACTTACAGATGAAGTAACATGTTGGTCTATATCTGAAATGTTAGTATTCTGGTCTGAGGGGCACTGTTGCAGGTGCACGTCCTTATCACAGACTTACAGACGAAGGTACACGTTGGTCTATATCTGAAATGTTAGTATTCTGGTCTGAGGGGCACTGTTGCAGGTGCACGTCCTTATCACAGACTTACAGACGAAGGTACACGTTGGTCTATATCTGAAATGTTAGTATTCTGGTCTGAGGGGCACTGTTGCAGGTGCACGTCCTTATCACAGACTTACAGACGAAGGTACACGTTGGTCTATATCTGAAATGTTAGTATTCTGGTCTGAGGGGCACTGTTGCAGGTGCACGTCCTTATCACAGACTTACAGACGAAGGTACACGTTGGTCTATATCTGAAATGTTAGTATTCTGGTCTGAGGGGCACTGTTGCAGGTGCACGTCCTTATCACAGACTTACAGACGAAGGTACACGTTGGTCTATATCTGAAATGTTAGTATTCTGGTCTGAGGGGCACTGTTGCAGGTGCACGTCCTTATCACAGACTTACAGACGAAGGTACACGTTGGTCTATATCTGAAATGTTAGTATTCTGGTCTGAGGGGCACTGTTGCAGGTGCACGTCCTTATCACAGACTTACAGACGAAGGTACACGTTGGTCTATATCTGAAATGTTAGTATTCTGGTCTGAGGGGCACTGTTGCAGGTGCACGTCCTTATCACAGACTTACAGACGAAGGTACACGTTGGTCTATATCTGAAATGTTAGTATTCTGGTCTGAGGGGCACTGTTGCAGATGAACGTCCTTATCACAGACTACAGATAAAGTTAAATGTTGATCTTAATTGTTAGTGTTCTTGTGCGAGTGAGTGGGTGGTGGGTGAGAGTGATACAGCGGTGGGTGAATGAGTGATACAGTGACAGTTTTGTGAGTAGCAGTGGTGGATGAGTCAGTGAGTGATATTGGTGGGTGAGTGGGTGAGTTCTTCAGTGACGGTTGAGTGTATGTCAAGGAGATTTACCTAGCTTCTATACATGCATACATCTTGTGACGCGAACCATGTTGTATCCTGGTAATCCAGAAAATACATAAAAGGTGCACAGAAATTTAAAGTGTTTTAAATGTCACATAGATGTGACTGGTTTATGCTTTTAAACTGTTTAGAATACAGTAAACTACGGTTATAACGAACAAAAAGGGACCACTAACTAAAGTTCGTCACAACCGTTGTTCGTTATAAGCATTTATACAACATATACACAGCAAATGAACAGGACCAAAAAACAGTTCGTTATATCCGCCAGTTTGTTATAAACGTAGCTTACTCTATACCCGAGTGTTTACGTTGTCGCGCTACGCAAGACAACATATCGTTGGCCGAATACACAATACAACAGTGGACTGAGACATCCAGAGAGCGTAGACCGCCTCCGTGGTCTAGTGGTAGAGCGTCCGCCCGGAGAGCGGAAGGTCCGGGGTTCGATCCCCGACCGCGTCATACCAAAAGACGGTAAAAGATGGTACTTGTTGTTACCCTGTCTGGCGCTCGGCATTGAGGGGCTAAAACAAGTACTTGTCAGCTCGGAGTCAGTATACTGTGTCTGAGTTGGGTATTCATGTTAAACTGCGGCATGGTATCTCAGTGAGCTAGCACTATAAATCGGCATCAGTCCGGACTAGTACAAGCAGCCACACAAACACACACACGTACATGCACGTCGCTTTATAAGTGCAATAATCTTGGACGCGACGTTAAACCCCATTTCACCTCACCTCCAGAGAGCGTAAATCAGCATGTAACTGGTTGGAATGAACACACGCAGGGGTCGGAGTCTCGAGGTAGATAACGTTGCCTGGTAACTACTAATCCGTGATTGGTTGGTTCGACACAGCTATCGCGAGGTATTAAGAATCGTTCTTTAACGCTTTGCGTTCATTGTACCCAAGTCTGTAAGTCATATGTCTGATTGAATGTATCAATTTCTGCAAGGGATTCTCTCGCTGTCTCGAGATTGCGTGTTTTGGTGGGCTGTTTTGACAAATCCAGACTGCGAGATTGAAAGATCTTACATAATGTCCACATGTCGCCTTCTCCGGTTCATAGTACAAAAAGTACTATGTACGCACAAACACGAAATGCGAGAACGCGAAAATTTGGGCAAATCTCGCGTTCTCCCGATCTCGCACGTTTGGTATAATTAGCTTGTTACCAAAGGTCGAGATCGCGAGAATGCGAGTACACGAGAGTGCTATGATGAATGACATTATAAGTTTCAATCCCGTGGCGGTAAGCGATAGTTAGACCTCATCATTTCTTAATGATGGCCCAGTCGCGTAAGCCGCGATTCGCTGTGCAGATTTGCGTCCCTTGGGCACGCCAGAAACCTAGGATTGTGGGTTCGAATCCCGGTTCGCCCCGATTATGTTTCTAGGTTTGTCAGCACCATACCCGTGCTCGTGGGTTTCACCGAAGTGGTAAACGTCTGAGACCTGCATTACTTCGGGCTTTCCTCCCACAAAAAGCTGACACGCTGCGATACAACTGGAATACTGTTAAAACGTGGCGTTAAACGGAACTCACTGACTCTACATGAACCGGGATTAAAAAACGATGTGACATGGTATCAAAAGTAAAGCACTCACTCACGTAATGTACCAGTCTTGATATAACTGGAATATTGTTCAATGCTGCGTTCAACCGAACTCACTGACTCTATATGAACCGGGATTAAAAAACGATGTGACATGGTATCAAAAGTTAAGCACTCACTCACGTAATGCACCAGTCTTGATATAACTGGAATATTGTTCAATGCTGCGTTAAACCGAACTCACTGACTCGATGTGAACCGGGATTAAAAAACGATGTGACATGGTATCAAAAGTTAAGCAAATTAAATAACTTCCGTTTTCATACATATAATACATTCGGCCTGTTTATTAGTCGCATACTGTCGTAATATCGGGACGCATTTTAATAAAGGAAAAAGAAGCTTTTAGACCTAATTTGGCTTCCGGTTTTGACAAAGGCCCCCAAAACCCATGCATGTCGGACGTAGCGTCAGACTCGGTGAGCTAGTTGTCGTGTCACGTGACTTGGATGTCGTGTCACGTGACTTGGATGTCATGTGACGTGACTTGGATGTCGTGTCACGTGACTTGGATGTCATGTGACGTGACTTGGTTGTCGTGTCACCGTACGCGTTGCGTTGCGCGTTGCTCATAATGTCAGTCATTGGATTCTCAGGCATTGCCGGATCTCGGAGCGGAGGTTTGGGGGTCCCCCCTCTTTGTATCAAATGACATTTTGTATGTCTGCCATGATAACGTGTTGACATGGCTGCTGAAATAAAATTCCCTATTCCTCTCCCCGCCAGATCCAGAGTCGGTAAAGCTGGAATATTGCTGAGTGCAGCAAGGTACGGTTTCGATATATTACGATATATTACCAGACTCAATACACTTTTTTGAATTTAGAAAGCCATAAACATGGTACAATTTACATTAATCAGAATGCATCACATGGACACGGATATATGTAGCCATGCTGACTCACAACACTGCAAACCTTTCTTTCAACTTCCTCATATCTCCAACCGCTGATTCACTCTCACAGGGCGGTACATCGTTTCTGTTGGCCACACTTCCGGCAAGACATAAATGCAGATAGGGACACAGCGTGGACAGAAGAAACGTTTTTACATCGGTTAGGGTCTGACCATTCTGTATTCTATGGAGGCGAGATTTTTGTTTGAAAAAGATTGTTATTTTTAGTCAGCGTTTCAATGTCAGCGATTTTATGTTGGAAAGGGGAAGCTAAGTAACTTCTGTTTAATCCAAACACATCATGTTTTATAGCATCAAGCATACCAAGTGAACTGTCTAGGCTTTTGTTGTAAAACTCCAGGTCGAAATATTTTCGGATCAACATATTTTATTTTCAAACACCCGTAAACCCCATCCACAGTATACATGGTGGTTTGTGTGTTACAGACGCATAACATGCCATTTAGACGACGTCTGTGGTTGATTATTAAACCAGTTAAGTCCTTAAAAGTGTTAACATTAGTCCGCTACACCAACTTCATCAACCTGCATCCGACGTCCATCCACCAACTTATACTTTGTTTGTTACAGACCAACTTGCGTTGTGCTTGTTACAGTATGCGTTGCTGTTTATTACAGATGGACGCCGACGTTCACCCACCAACTTGTGATGTGCTTGTTACAGTATATGTTCCTGTTTGTTACAGGTGGACGCCGACGTTCATCCACCAACTTGTGATGTGCTTGTTACAGTATACGTTGCTGTTTGTTACAGATTCTACCATGAATTTGGAATTTACTCGATTCTGATTGGTCAATCAGAGGCTATTAAATCACAATAAACCCCCTCTGATTGAAACAGCTGGTTTGACGGCCGCATCACCGCGGAAGCTAATATTCATAGAATAGTACTATTTCCAGTCATTGTCGGTAGGCATATTTAAATAACTATATCTACAATTACAGGTTACAAAACGCACAGATGCGGTTACTTCAATATTCAAAGGATGTATGGCAATACATTTCGTGCAGAAAAACACGACAGAAATCAACAAAGGGAATGTATTTACGTTTTGGAGACAACAGAGAGCTTGAAATTTTGGCGTTTTTCTATATACGACTGTGACGTCATATCTTTGGCGTCACAATGAGCGATATGACGTCATAAGGGTGACGCGCGATGTAGATCGAAAGCCTTGCAAAGCTTGCTATGTTTTCTTTAGGGATGCTCACCTCATGTTAGCTTACCAAGTTGCCGTGCTTATATGCTTTCAATGCCTGTCATATGTTCGAGTGAAGTATTACGGTGTAAGCAAACTGCTTGAGTATATACAGCACCATATTTTGTTCGGTGATTCCGTAATTCAGATCGATAATTACCCACTCAAAACACTGAACTCAACCAATGCCGCTTCACTCAGTATTTTTGCTAACACCAAAGAGTTCGCGTTTTATTAAGTCATGGTAGAATGGAGATAAACATACTGTGTTTTCAATGTAGAGCTAAATTTAACATTTGAAACCTCACGCTGCGCGTTCGGTTCCAAATTCAATTTAGCGGGGTTAAATCTACAGGTAACCTAGCTCTACATTGAAAACACAGTATGTTTATCTCCTAATTAACGCCGACGTTCATCCACCAACTTGTGATGTACTTGTTACAGTATACGTTGCTGTTTGTTACAGATGGACGCCGACGTTCACCCACCAACTTGTGATGTACTTGTTACAGTATACCTTGCTGTTTGTTACAGGTGGACGCCGACGTTCACCCACCAACTTGTGATGTACTTGTTACAGTATACCTTGCTGTTTGTTACAGGTGGACGCCGACGTTCACCCACCAACTTGTGATGCACTTGTTACAGTATACCTTGCTGTTTGTTACAGATGGACGCCGACGTTCATCCACCAACTTGTGTTGTACTTGTTACAGTATACGTTGCTGTTTGTTACAGATGGACGCCGACGTTCATCCACAAACTTGTGTTGTACTTGTTATAGTATACGTTGCTGTTTGTTACAGGTGGACGCCGACGTTCATCCACCAACTTGTGTTGTACTTGTTACAGTATACGTTGCTGTCTGTTACAGGTGGACGCCGACGTTCATCCACCAACTTGTGATGTACTTGTTACAGTATACGTTGCTGTTTGTTACAGATGGACGCCGACGTTCATCCACCAACTTGTGTTGTACTTGTTACAGTATATTTGTAGTTTGTTACAGGTGGACGCCGACGTTCACCCACCAACTTGTGATGTACTTGTTACAGTATACCTTGCTGTTTGTCACAGATGGACGCAGTCACGAAGCTGGAGAAGCTGAATGAGAATTTCCTGACGTGTTGTATCTGCAGTGAGGTGTACAAAGACCCCTGCACCCTGTCCTGTGGGCACACCTTCTGTAAAGGCTGTCTGAAGAAATACCTCCGCAACATCGACGACCCCCTCCAGGGCTGCATTCCGTGTCCCTATTGCCGCCAAGCTACCAGAGTATCACACCCGGACGGGCCCGTGGAGGAGTGGGTGAAGCCCATCAAACCCAGCTTCCTCATACAGGGGCTGCTGGATATGTTCGCCCCAGGGGACAGGAATACACAAGGTAAGGGACTGTGACGGCTTGAGGACATCAGTTCTCAAAGGGATAATTCCGTTCATAGTAAAGTCAGCACCTCTTGAGGTGGGGATAATTCTGTCCATATTCAAGTCATCTCTTATCGAGGTAGGGATAATTCCGCTCATATTCAAGTCATCGCTTCTCAAGGTAGGGATAATTTTGTCCATATTCAAGTCATCACTTCTCGAGGTAGGGATAATTTTGTCCATATTCAAGTCATCACTTCTCGAGGTAGGGATAATTTTGTTCATATTCAAGTCATCGCTTCTCGAGGTAGGGATAATTTTGTCCATATTCAAGTCATCACTTCTCGAGGTAGGGATAATTCTGTCCATATTCAAGTGTTCACTTCTCGAGGTTGTGATAATTCGGCTCATATTCAAGTCATCACTTCTCAAGGTAGGGATCCGTACTCTCATATTCAAGTCATCACTTCTCAAGGTAGGGATCCGTACTCTCATATTCAAGTCATCACCTCAAGATAGGGATCATTCCTTTATATTCAAGTGTTCACTCTCAAGGTAGGAATCATTCCTCTCATATTCAAGTCTTCACTTCTCAAGGTAGAGATTATTCCGATCATATTCAAGTCATCACTTCTCAAGGTAGAGAGTATTCCGATCATGTTCAAGTCATCACTTCTCAAGGTAGGGATCATTGCTTTCCTATTCAAGTTATCACCTCAAGATAGGGATCATTCCTTTCATATTCAAGTGTTCACTTCTCAAGGTAGGAATCATTCCTCTCATATTCAAGTCTTCACTTCTCAAGGTAGAGATTATTCCGATCATATTCAAGTCATCACTTCTCAAGGTAGAGATTATTCCGATCATGTTCAAGTCATCACTTCTCAAGGTAGGGATTATTCCGATCATATTCAAGTCATCACTTCTCAAGGTAGAGATTATTCCGATCATGTTCAAGTCATCACTTCTCAAGGTAGGGATTATTCCGATCATATTCAAGTCATCACTTCTCAAGGTAGGGATTATTCCGATCATATTCAAGTCATCACTTCTCAAGGTAGAGATTATTCCGATCATGTTCAAGTCATCACTTCTCAAGGTAGGGATTATTCCGATCATATTCAAGTCATCACTTCTCAAGGTAGAGATTATTCCGATCATGTTCAAGTCATCACTTCTCAAGGTAGGGATTATTCCGATCATATTCAAGTCATCACTTCTCAAGGTAGGGATTATTCCGATCATATTCAAGTCATCACTTCTCAAGGTAGGGATTATTCCTCTCATATTCAAGTCTTCACTTCTCAAGGTAGAGATTATTCCGATCATGTTCAAGTCATCACTTCTCAAGGTAGGGATTATTCCGATCATGTTCAAGTCATCACTTCTCAAGGTAGGGATTATTCCGATCATGTTCAAGTCATCACTTCTCAAGGTAGGGATTATTCCGATCATGTTCAAGTCATCACTTCTCAAGGTAGGGATTATTCCGATCATGTTCAAGTCATCACTTCTCAAGGTAGAGATTATTCCGATCATGTTCAAGTCATCACTTCTCAAGGTAGGGATTATTCCGATCATGTTCAAGTCATCACTTCTCAAGGTAGGGATTATTCCGATCATGTTCAAGTCATCACTTCTCAAGGTAGGGATTATTCCGATCATGTTCAAGTCATCACTTCTCAAGGTAGAGATTATTCCGATCATGTTCAAGTCATCACTTCTCAAGGTAGGGATTATTCCGATCATGTTCAAGTCATCACTTCTCAAGGTAGGGATTATTCCGATCATGTTCAAGTCATCACTTCTCAAGGTAGGGATTATTCCGATCATGTTCAAGTCATCACTTCTCAAGGTAGGGATTATTCCGATCATGTTCAAGTCATCACTTCTCAAGGTAGGGATTATTCCGATCATGTTCAAGTCATCACTTCTCAAGGTAGGGATTATTCCGATCATGTTCAAGTCATCACTTCTCAAGGTAGGGATTATTCCGATCATGTTCAAGTCATCACTTCTCAAGGTAGAGATTATTCCGATCATGTTCAAGTCATCACTTCTCAGGGTAAGGTAAGATTCCATTCATACTGAGGACATCACTTCGCAAGGAAGAGAACTTTGTCCGCCGAAATCGAGGACACGAGTTCTCAAGGCAGATAACATTCCATTCATGTCGAGGACATCACTTATCAAAGTAAGTGAACCTTCCGCTTATATAGAGATCATCACTTCTCAAGGTAAGGAACTATCTCCTCTCACATCGAGGACATCAAATCTCAAAGTAAGGTACGTTCTGCTCTTTCAATGTGTGCCTTTCAATAAATATATATATATATCCAAAATTCAGTCACTTTGAAAATATGTGAAATGTTTCTTATTTTAAGACGGCATAGGTGAAGTCAAACGGACTGAACGTGGGTGGATTCTAAGAGTAAGACCCTAGGCCCTCCTCCCTCATATACAAGTTTATGATATAAGCGCACATATAGTGGTACATGATATAAGTTAGTGTTCCGCAATGCAATGCTACCTTCTTTAACATAAAAGATTGAATTGATCCCCATGGATAATTGGTTGCAGATGTAAGCGAACACATGTGTGTGTCCTGCACACTGCTGGGGGAGAAGAGGGACGTGGTGGAGTTCTGCTGCAGAGACTGTAACAAAGCTGTGTGTCTGAGCTGCTGCACCCTTCACCACAGAACGTGTGAGTCTGTCATGCCCATACAGACTGTGTTGCCGGAGGTCAAGTCCGTACTGATGGAAAACAAGGACAGGATCAGCAAGCAGCTGGATGACACGAGGTCCACAGTTTTACATCACCAATCACGGATCCTCGAGATCAGCCAGAAGAAGCTTTCGTTGGAATTACAGATCCGGATTGTCTCACAGAGGGCCACGGACTTAATTAAACAGAAGGAGACACAGCTGCTGAATCAGCTCAATGAAACGATTGAAAAGCAGAGTGCTGATCTGAAAGGACAGGTGAAATCTGGGAAAATAGACATCCAGATGTATCAACAATATGTTGAGTACATTACTCAGGTTATGAAGTCGGAGAGTGAGACGGAGATGCTTGACATTTACCAGATGTGTCAGTCAGGGGCAATCAAGGAGGCAACAGAGAGAAACGTCCATCTGGAGGATGATACAGTAGAAGAAGATTTTATATTCATAGATGAGTTCAACGAGAGAGCATTCCATACAGATGTCCGACTGGGAAGACTAGAAAGGCCGCTGTTTGACGTTACGTCTGCTCCTGTGCTAAGTGAGTCAATTGATGTCCGACTGGACAGTGACAAAGTCGCGCCTGATGCAGCTGATGTTGTTGTTGTGTTTGTAGACGACGTGGAGGCGCTCGTGGTTACAGATTGGAGCAACAAATGCCTGAAATCATTGTACACGTTGCAGAGTCGGCCACATCAGAGTAAACTGACGCTCAAAAGTAATCCATTTACTGTGACGAAGCTGAGAGAGAATCAGGTGGCTGTATCATTCTGGTCCTACAATGCGATAGTCATTGCACAGGTGACACCCGATCTCTTACTGATGTCCACCATCAAAACAAAGAAGAAGTACAGATGCCTGACATCCTTGAGTCCTTCAACATTAGCAGCAGGTTGCATGGATCCATCTTCTGTTGATGTGTTGGACATGGCGGGGGTAGTGCTGAGAACTTTCTCTGGGCACAACACTGGTAAAAACCTGATCCGGGAACCATGGTTCTTGAGCACTACGAACAAGGGCAACATCTTGGTGTCAGACGGTGGGTCGGGCTCTGTGTTTTGTGTCACGCTTGAGGGAGAGGTTGTGTTCACCTACACCCCTACAGGAGGGAGAGAACTGAAACGACCACGAGGTATCACAACTACCAGCACAGGCCACATCCTGGTGGCGGACTACTGGACGGAGAGGCTGGTACTGCTGACAAAGACTGGAGAGTTCATCAAAGACCTCCTTATGTCCAAGGATGGAGCTGAATCTTTGTGTGGGGTTTTCCTTCATGGAACAAGACTTTTTGTGACGGAAAGTTCCCAAAGAGTGAAAGTATTTGAATTCAAAAGGACTCAATCGGTATGCCGGTTTCCGATCCTCACGCTTACATAACCCAATTGCCCAATATTGAAAAAGAAAACATTGTAAGTCTCAAACAAAAGCATTTTATCATTCGATTTGACGCCGTGCCTTATTGTTTGTTGAAACATATCGTGTGTATTTAGTGTCTTGATGTGAGGTTACGGAAGTGGTCATGACTTGTTTTAAAGACATGCTTTACGCTTCTGTTGATTATGATAACACATTCTCAGTGTCCATGTCAAAATAGAAGAACTTTGGGGGACAAGGTGGGCAAGTCGCTGGAAACAGATGCGTTGCTTAGCTGAATCCCATATTCGTCAAGGACATCATCTTGTGTTCGTTAGCACCAAACCCCTACGCATTGTATTTAGTACTCTTTCATCGAACCAAACAACTAATGATGTTCTTGAATTTTGGCAAGATATATATGTATATTCGTATATAACTTAGCAATAAATTTGGTGCAATTATATTTTTTATATATTTCTAATGCTTATATACTGAACCGCAAAAGAAACGTCACCCCATGTAACATTGCATGGAAAGTTGTCTTATAAATATCTGGTTAATTTTTGTCAAGGTTTCTAAACTTTAACATTACCTTGTCCGGAAAAATGAAATCAGCGACACCAAGCCTTTGGACGATTGCAAGCTGTACAAACCGCCAGGCAAGTAGCAAATGCATTTCAAGTCCACGTAAGGACCATATACAGGCTACAGCAACGGTACCAGACCACCAACACTACAGATGACCGACGACGTAGTGGAAGACCAAGGGTCACCACCCGACGTCAGGATCGTCAGATTGTGCGACAACATGTTCAACATCGCTTTGTTACTGCTGCGGAAACTGCTTGACAGACCATGGGGACATACCAGCAACACATTAGTTCTGACATCATGCGTCGACGATTGACGAGCGGACACCTCTGTCACAGGCCACACCGAGGACACATTCTGACACCACGTCATCGCCGGGACCGTCTTCAGTGGGCAACACAGCACCATCATTGGTGCCACCAGCAGTGGAGAAGGGTCCTCTTCTCAGACGAGAGCCGTTACTGTATCTCAACAGCGGATGGCAGAGAGAGAGAGTCTGGCGACGCCGTGGGAAACGTTATTCGGATGCTTGTGTTGTTGAGAGAGACTCGTGGGGTGGTCCGAGCATCATGTTGTTGGGTGAAATTTGTCTTGCACAGAGTGTCGGCCCTGTGGTCTTCCAGAACATCGGTCCAGGGAGAGGCAATGGTGTCACAGCAGCTCGGTACATTGATCAAGTCTTGAGACCCGCGCCATACCTCATTTGGCAAGTCGCCGCAACTACGAGTTTCAGCATGAAAACGCCCGTGCCCACACTGCGAGAGCAACAACAGACTTCCTCCAGCAGAATGGCATCAGAACCGTGCAGTGGCCTGCCCTTGGTCCCGATTTAAATGCCATTGAGCACCTGTGGGACGAGATTCAAAGACGGCTGAATGACGTCCGACCAAGGCCGACAACTGCAGCTGAACTGCGTCAGGCGTTCCTCAGAGTGTGGGCTCAAGTGCCTATGGCCTTCATCAACCGCCCCATTCATTCCATGTATCGACGTTGCGCGGCAGTCATCAATCCAAATGGCGGAAACACGAGATGCTGACATGTGATGCCATTTTCTCAGAGACTAGTGTTGTGTTTCACTTTAAGAACATTTGACACTTTAATTTCCACCTTGATGATCAGTTTTGCAATCTTTCTAAAATCTCTCAAAGTATGTTTACAGTGTTTGGACAAATATGGTTTCTCATATATCTATCCATGGTGACGTTTCTTTTGTGGTTCAGTATATTATAAGAGGGCTGAATGGACGTTGTTGTTTCCATCTATGAAATACTGGTGGAAGCTTATACCTGCCGAACACATCTCGTCCTCAGATGGAATATTGCCTGAATGGACACTGACATCACAGCCGGTAATAGGTTGAGGATTTAGTTTGCGGTGACGCTGCCAGGGCCAAGGCTGATCTGCAAGTCTTGATGGCCGTATAGACATGTGTTCTGTGCAGATCATTAGATCAAATACATATAGTGTCTCCGTGGATATTTCGATGCAGACAAGGTCCCAAGAACTTCCTGCATGTGGTACACAAGCTGTTGTGGCTTGGCTCTGTGGCGTATGTTTGACGTGGGACGTTACTCATGATATCAACCACAGACTTACCTGATCCAGACTCACATATGTACAGGCTGCGATGCCATATTGCTGCCTGAAAGGTAGAACAACAACTACGTAGAAGTTATAAACTAAGCATCATGAAGGCGAGGCGCCATGTTTGCTTCGTGTATGTTGTCTCAGCCACGTGCTAGTCGTCTCAACTATATGCAAGGTGTCATAGCCACGTGTACGTTGTCTCAACTATATGCAAGGTGTCATAGCCACGTGTACGTTGTCTCAACTATATGCAAGGTGTCATAGCCACGTGTACGTTGTCTCAACTATATGCAAGGTGTCATAGCCACGTGTACGTTGTCTCAACTATATGCAAGGTGTCATAGCCACGTGTACGTTGTCTCAACTATATGCAAGGTGTCATAGCCACGTGTACGTTGTCTCAACTATATGCAAGGTGTCATAGCCACGTGTACGTTGTCTCAACTATATGCAAGGTGTCAAAGCCACGTGTACTTTGTCTCAACTATAGGCAAGGTGTCATAGCCACGTGTACGTTGTACGAGACACGTGTAAGTTGTCACAGCAACAAGTAAGTTGTCAGTGTCACGTGCAGGCTGTCTGAACCACGTGCAGGGTGTGTAAAACACGTGTAGGTTGTCTGTGCCACGTGTAGGTTGTCTGCACCACGTGTAGGTTGTCTGTGTCACGTGTAGGTTGTCTGTGTCACGTGTAGGTTGTCTGAACCACGTGTAGGATGTGTGAAACACGTGTAGGTTGTTTGAACCACGTGTAGGTTGTCTGAACCACGTGTATGTTGTCTGTGTCACGTGTACGTTGTCTGAACCACGTGTAGGTTGTCTAACCAACGTGTATGTTTTCTGTGTCATGTGTAGGTTAAATGAAGCACGTGTAGGATGTGTGAACCACGTGTATGTTGCCCGTGTCACGTGTAGGTTGTCCAAACCACGTGTAGGTCGCCTGAACCACGTGTAGGTTGTCTGAATCACGTGTAGGATGTCTGGACCACGTGTATGTTGCCTGTGTCACGTGTAGGTTGTCCAAACCACGTGTAGGTCGCCTGAACCACGTGTTGGTTGTCTGAATCACGTGTAGGATGTCTGGACCACGTGTATGTTGCCTGTGTCACGTGTAGGTTGTCTAAACCACGTGTAGCCCGCCTGAACCACGTGTAGGTTGCCTGAAACACGTGTAGGATGTCTGGACCACGTGTATGATGCCTGTGTCACGTGTAGGTTGTCCAAACCACGTGTAGGTCGCCTGAACCACGTGTAGGTTGTCTGAATCACGTGTAGGATGTCTGGACCACGTGTATGTTGCCTGTGTCACGTGTAGGTTGTCGAAACCACGTGTAGCCCGCCTGAACCACGTGTAGGTTGCCTGAAACACGTGTAGGATACCTGATCCAGGTGCAGGTTGTTTCAAATAGTTATGGTAAAGCCGTCACTTCAACTAGTGCATAATAGAACATATTGCTAAGAACAGTAAACATCTCTGTGCAGAGAGTGAAGGTATTTGTTGCTACAGGCGTGAGTGAATATGAGTACAATTATACAAAAATGGCACCAAGCAATACCTTTTCTGTATTTTATTACCAGTATAGCAACATCCAAATAGCAAGCATCTAAAAGGGGATAAATTGAACCGTATACAAAGAAACCGCTGACAAATCGGAAAAGACATGGCTTCAAACAAGTGAAAATGATGATCAATTCGCACATTCATTAACATTGTCCATGTCCTGGGCTTGTTATACAGTGATCACACAAACTACTCCATAGAACACTGCTTTTGTGTGCAGGTTTTACATTTTTCATAGTAACCGCATACATGAATGGCTGACGTTTACAGCCTTGACAGCGTCACGTACGTTACTGATGAACTGACCTATTCAGTTTTATGGCATGACATGTACTACTGAAAAGAAGCTACAGAAAAACCCATTATTGCTTCTGCAACTGCAGGCTGCTGTATTCCTGCCTAAAAGGAGACGGGTCCAATTCAGTAGAAAGGTTTAATCTGCACACCGGTTGAAAAACAGCATCCAAATGTACAGACTGACTGACTGACACGGTTCGAAAAACATGCTCGGTTTTTTGGCACCATCCCTCCCTCTCCAGTCATGCGACGTTCCCGCTCCGCGATCATGTGATCACTGGGTCCGATAATATCTTAACCATTCGGCCGCTACACCGATCCTTTCCTATTACTATAGTTATTGTCACATGACATGACAGATTAAGTATAGGAACATGGAAGAAGCGGGCGTCCTGTAAGGATTAAGCATTTAGTAGAATGTATTGTGGTAATTTGAGTTAGCTTTAAGTCGCGTGTGAGTGAGTGAGTGAGTGAGTGAGTGAGTGAGTGAGTGAGTGAGTGAGTGAGTGCGAGTGAGTGAGTGAGTGAGTGAGTGAGTGAGTGAGTGAGTGAGTGATACAACAGGACTCTATGACATGAGATTCTTTATTTCCTCCAGATGTCATTCCGAAGATTACAATGAAAATATATTCAATTACACGCAGTTAACACAATAAAAAAGGCATAACATATTTACAATTACACACAGTTTATAAAATTCAGATACCTAAATGATGACAGATTTTCACTAGAAGATATATATCAAAAGATGCCTTAGTTTGTACAGATACGAGGCGAATTGAAGTATAATAGTTTCCCAGGTGTGTCGATCCAGATTGTGAGTAAATTTTGTTTCAGCCCCAAATAAGCCTGATAACATATCTGTTTCGTCTTGCATTTCAAAATCAACATATTTTGAACGTCAAGTACGTCAATAAGAGAAGAGAAAAACGCATTTCTTTCTGATATCAGCGCTTCACAATGTAAAATAATGTTGCTTTCATAGTCGAGAGTTGTAAAGCAGGTCGATATTCCGGGTACAGAAAAGCTAATTGCCAAAGTACATGGTACAGTTTCCGAAACCGGACGGTCATTTTCATACACAAAACACTGAAATGCACACAAAAATGGCTCACTTATCCGGACAATACATTTCCGCTGGTGGTAATCCTTCCGCTGGTGGAAATCCTTTGATTCGGGAGAAGTCAATTAACCAAGTGACACTGAGTTACGTTTGAGACGAGCTTGTTTATTGTACATGTAATCCCCTTCGATAAATATGGCGTCTTTGGAGGTCGGAGGTCAATGTTGTGTAAGTATGGCCTGTCAACCAGCGAAACGTAAGCGACACGCAGTTACAGCACGCGAAAAAAAGGGAAATTTGTCTCTTTAAAGAAAAACACCCGTCAGCAAGTTTAGAAACCATCATTAAGCATTATGGCACTGCAT